CTAAGAACAGTTCCTGGCACCAGCAAGCACTCACCAGATAGTGGCCAGGTTACATGACCTTTAATAACACACTCACATTCCTTAGTGAAAAGTGAGTGTCTCAGAGCTGCAGCATGAATGAGGAACAGGGGTGAGAGCGACGACTCTGGGGACAGACTGCTGGCCCATTCCCCATCTTCACTCATTTTCAACTGGGTAACTTGGGGCAGGTTACTTGGGCTTTCAAACCCCCAAATGTCTCATGCACAGTACCTATTCCTCACTAGTTGTGAGATTATGTATTTATGAGAATATAAACTCTCCAAATTAGCTACTACCAGTGTCTTTATGGAAAGAAATCCTAAGACAGGCTCTAAAATGTGTGTCCTTAGTACATATAAATATAGAAACACTATCAGCAACACATTAAAGACAGCCTTCAGAATAATGTACTGTGATAATTTGTTTTTTTTATAATGTATAGAAATATGTGAAAAAATTTACTTTTGCTCACTACCTCTCAAACTTTTAGAAAAGGATTTAAAAGCAATTTGAAAAAGACTTTAAATTCCTTTTAATACTAAATAAATTTTTTAAAAATCAGTTTACATAAACCAAGAAGTTGTACAACTGAGCAGGAAAGAAGAGAAACTTGTAACAATGGAGACAAGTCATTACAAGCTTTGTATGTACTACTGTCTGGAAAGAAATTCATTAACCCACAATAAACTGAATTAAAGAGTTATCCTTTGGAAATGCTATTTCTCTTTTCCTAGAAGAAAACTAAAAGCGATCTCTTTCATGAGGGCTTTTATCTGTTCCAGGCCTTTTCCATACCCCTCTGCACAGTTTTGTGCTTCTGTTTGTTTGCAAGGTGTATTAGCTGCCCTCCATAGGTAGGATAGGACCACAGGGCAGGGAGGCTATTCTCCCCCACTTCTGAAATCTCACCTGGCTCGGGATGCTCACTGAGAAAGCACTGCATGAGTGCAGAGAGAAAACAAGCACTTAGCACGTAACTAAAACCTGGTAAAAACTGGTACTGCCTCTGAAAGAATTCATTTATTCAGCAACAATAGTTTGCAGTAACCAATAAAACCACGTACATCATAGTAAACAGAGTTTTAAAACAAGTACTGAAAAGTACTACAATTGCTAAACCATTCAGTTGAGCACAAGACTTTTAAATTTCTTCAAAATTGTCTGAAAAATAGCCTTCACATTATGTCTAAAGAAGCATTAAGAGGTTGGTTGGATTCCAGAGTCCTCACAGATGCCTGGTCTATGTCGTACCTTTGCCACTTCCCCACTGCATAGCCTCAAACAAATCATTTAACTTCTCTGTGGCAGTGTCCTAACCTATTAAATAAGAGTAAGCCTGAGAAAATTACTGTGAGGATTATATGAATTCAGATGTAAAATGATTAAGAGAGCTTGGAAATTGGTATATATCTAATAGTATATGCTATCATTGGCATTGTAATAATTATTAGGACTAATTTCCATCATTATCTCAGTTTATTTAATCAAACACATTGAAAAGTGCATACGTAAGTATGTTATCTTGTATAATCTGGTTTCATATTTTTTCACATTTTGACACATAACCGGAGGAACTCCGTTAGATTTAATTATAATTCTTTTTTTATTTTAAAGCTTCAAAAAAAATGGCTATTTGAACTCTTGGTCTGTTTTTCAACTTAGTTTTCTGAAAGGATTTATTGAAAACTCTACATTGGCTGGAACATTCCTGCTGCTTACCTTTCAGCAGAGTAACTTTGTATGAGTACAGTGGATATCCATGTGGTTTCAATTTTCAAATACACAAACACTTCATTGTACAATCAATGGCCAAAGGCTCTCAGTGAGCTAAAGACACATTGTTTTTGCTCCTTGAGTTTTCTGTTCTACTTTTAACTATGTGCCGATTACATTTCCTGTCCCCCACAACAAACACGCTTCAATTTGTTGTGACCATTCAAACAAGTTAATTGCTATTAGTTTTTTGGTTTTTTTTTTTTTTGAAACAGAGTACAGCATAATCAAGCTAGTTTTCTGTCTTAGTCTACTCAGGCTGCCATAACAAATACCATAAACTGGATGGTTTAAACAACAGGAATTTATGCTCTCATAGTTCTGGAGGCTAAGGAGTCCAAGATCAATGTGCCAACCCTAAGGAGGGCCCTCCTCCTGGTTTGAAGATGGCCACCTTTTTGCATGGTGGAGAGAGCTCTGGTATCTCTTCCTTTTCATATAAAGGCACTAGTCCCATCAGGTTAGAGACCCACTTCAGGCTTTAACTTAACCTTCAGTACTTCTTCACAGGTCCTATCTACAAATACACTGAAAGTTGGGAGATTCCACATACAAATTTGGGCTGACACAAACAGTCCATGAAAGTCTTCTAACTGTTCAAATATAGAACTCAAAATCAAGCAGGGCACTGGTGGCTCATGTCTGTAATCCTAGCTACTCAGGAGGACTGGTTCAAAGCCAGCCCCAGGCAAATAGTTCATGAGATCCTATCTCAAAAAACGCCCATCACAAAAAAAAGCTGATGGAGTGGCTCAAGCAGAAAGAGCACCTACCTCACAAGTGTGAGGCCCTGAATTCAAACCTCCAGTGCTGCCAAAAAGAAAACCAACACAAATTCAATAAATCTTCCATGCATATACAGAAAACCACCTGGTAAAATATAATTTAGTTTTGTCTCAGAATGAAAAATTCAAATGCACAGGCAGCAAGCTCACTGACACAAGACAGTAACAGCTCAGTGCTTTCCCTCTCTTTTCATTAGGACTAGATGGATCTACCTTTTCTCTTGCACATGGTAAAACAACTTGAAAAAATACTTCACAGTTTGGTTGGACTGATCATCTACATAAAAAATTCCATCTCTTAATATATACCCTGGGTGCTGACCTAATTTCTGAAAAATATGTAAGTTTAGGTTTTCTGGGATTTGATCATGCTCAGAGAATTGTATCAGCAACAACTGTGACTTGAAAATTCGATGGACTTCACATTGTATCTAGAAAGATGAGCCTGCAAAAGGTGGCAGGGCCTTAGACTCCTAAGTCCTTTCGAGTGACAAACGTGAAGGCTGATGCCCATGCATCATTGGTGCCAAGTGATACCAGAACACAGGGCTCCTAACTACAAGCCAGGATGCCAGTGGCCACCATGCCACGCATAGTACTCCTAACATACAAGTAGGAAAGGAGCTCCCCATCCCTTGGCAAACACCAGGAGCCTTATCAGGCAGCAACAGTGAGGACCACAGCTTCAATCTAACTCATGCTTGACTCCCAGTTGTGGCAATATCCAAAAAAGGATCATAGCTTCTGCCCTTATCTTTTAGCTTCTCTTCTGATTTTCTCCCCTCTAATGAACATGTCAAGCTGATGAATTCCTCCTTCCACTCAGCCCCTCTGAGGATGGAAATGAAAGTGTGCTGTGAATACCACCTCTTCTACTCAGACCTCTACCTGAGTCTTCTCCCGGAAACCACATGTCCTTGACACTAGTTATGAATGTAAATAAACACCCCTTGAGACACTTCTGTGCATTAAGTAGACCTTTGGTATCTATAGGTATATGGTTCCAAGAAGACTGCTGTGGAGGAAAAACTGCAAATACTCAGGATGCAGAGTTCAGTAGTGTATTATGCATGCTTGATTCATTTTTCCCATAACACAGCTCAGCTTCCACTAAGGCCATGCTGCCTTTCAACAAATCTCTAATTTTTATTTGATTACTTAAATTAAGCACATTAACTTTTGCCTTGTTTTTGGGCATTTGCTTTGTGAGAGGCAGGTTTTCACAAAATTAAAGGCAGGAAAACATTCAACAGATCACGCAATGATTTAAACACAACTGATGAAAATGTGGTACTAACTAAGAGCTTCTCTGCATCCACTGAGCTTTGTAGTATGTGTGGGAATTCAAAATTTTTGGTTTCAAATTTTTTAAATTTATTATTATTTTTTTTTACCAGTCTTAGTCAAAAACACATGTAATAAATCTGCAAATAAGATGGGCTTACTGCATAGGCTTCTCACACTAGCAGCTTTGTGACAGGATTGGAAAACAAAACCTAAAAATGCTAAATTATAGTGAAGTAAAGCGATCCTCTGGGATTTAGCTGGTTTTATTTGTTTCTGTGAAATGTTCTCACATGTGTGGACACATAACTTTAGAGGCACATTTTTCAAAAACCAGTTAATGATCACTATTTTTATAAGGGAACACCTAAATCTATCTGACATGTTTTTTCATTTGCTCAAAGCTGTACCTGCCGAAATAAGAGCGTTCCCCGCAGAGTGCTCTCAGTTGGCTGGAATGGTTAGCAGGCTTTTTGTCTTAAGTCTCTAGGAAACAAGGCTGCCTTTTCCATTTCCTGTTCTGATTCATAACACAAAGAAATCTGTACATGTGCCAAATTTAGTATGATACTTAATAGCTACTCTTAATAGCTAGCTCATCAGACTAACATGATTTTCAAACTACAACTTCTATGAAAGAAGCCAACAAAAATGAAAGCTCGTATTAGAAAAGTTTAACTTTTTAGTTTCTTTCATACCCCTGCAAGCTTGTCTTTCAGCAAAATTCAAACACAAAACCAATCTCTTCACATGTGTAAAGGGCACATTATGGATCTCCTGACTAACCCTGGCGTATTGATAAACATTTTCATCATTTGTTAAAAAAAAAATGATTCGTATTGAAAACAGCTACCCAAGTGTATAGTTATACACGTATCCTTCTTAATAGCTTGGTAGTTAGTTTATGCACACAAAATTCTCCCCAGGGAGGCTTTGCACTGTTCAGAGGACAAGGTTTGCTGTGGTCTTCTTTTTCGACCTTTGCTGCACAGGGTGCTGGGACCACAGAAGATACATGCTTTATTAACAGAATATGTTAAGTGCTCTAACCAAACTGTCTGTTTTCTGAAAAGACTACTTTTACATTCAAACGGCTCATAAGCTGCTATGAGCACAGTTAAATTATTTTATTCTTACCAGAGCTAGACACACGCCTGATCCTCTGAGGAGATAAGGCTCGATCAGAATTGGGGTTTCTACTGTCGCTCTTCCGCCTCAAACAGGAAACCGCAGGCCCCACTTTGGCTTTTGAGCTGGGTGTTTTCCTCAAACTGCAGGAGTCAGGCTTGGATATATTCCTACCTGAGGTGGTGGCAGTTTTGGGAGGAGAAGCCTATGGGGAAAAAAAAACAGTTAAGATTTCAGTCCAGATCACACTTTTCCTAAACCATTTCCTTATGGTGTTAGCTATATGAGAGAAAACTTTTGTCTCAATGGCTATGTGAGATACGTGTTTGATTCTCATTTTTACTATGAAACAATTAAAACTCTTCACAAAGGACTTTTTACCTTCATCTGACTTTGGCCTCATTAGTGAGACCATTCAAAGGCCACCCATGCCACAAATTGAATTTGAGCCACAGTGTTCAGTCCCTTTGCAGAGAGGAGCTGCCCTGGCATCTTTCATTTCTTCAATAGGGAAGTTTTCCTTCTACCTGTCTGGTTATTCCTTTTCTGGGTCCTGATCTTCTGTACCTTTGAATGCTAGCCTTCAGTGGAGCCCAAATTTGGTCCTTTTTTCTTCTCACAATGTACTCTCCCTAGATGATCTCATCTGCTCTATCAACCACCACCTCTACACTGGTGCATCCAAAATCCACATGTCCAAGCCAACACTCTCACCTGAGTTGCCACTCTTACCTAAATTGGCTTCTGTATGCACCTCTCCACTCAGAACCTTTATTTAACAAGGACAATAATTCAATTATTGCTGGTGTTTACTAACATACAGCCCTTACCTATACAAAATAACACTCTAAATTCTAAATATGTATATCACTCACTTAATCCTTATAATAATCCTTTGAGGTTGGTACTTTTACCATACCCTTTTTTACAGAAGAACATGAAGCACTTCTAAAATTAAACTTGTTTTTACCCAGACATCTCAGAACTTATTTTTCTCATATTCACAATATACCCAGATACTCAAACAATGAAAATTATTTCTGGTTTTACTTCGAAATCCCTAACTTCCATCTGTCTTAGGATAAATCCAGTAGCATTTCTCACCAGGATTACTGAAACTGTGCCCTTAGGATTTTTCTGGTCTCAGCTTTCAGTTTGTCTTCCACTCCCCTGTCATAGGAATCTAAAATTCAAGTAGGGTGGAATGGCTTCCTTCTGCCTTCTGATAAAGTCAGCTCTCTGGGGTTTGAACTCAGTGCTTTGCACTTAAAAAGAAGGTGCTCCACCATTTGAGCCATGTCACCAGTCCATTTTGCTCTGGTTAATTTGGAGATGGGGGGGGTCTCAAGAACAATTTGCCTAGGCTAGCCTCAAATCATGATCCTCCCAATCAGCCTCCCAAGTAGCTAGGATTACAGACATGAGCTACCAGTGCCCAGCTAAAGTCAACTCTTTTAAAAGTATACCAGAGCCTTTTGGATACTGCAGACCCAGCATTGTCTTCAGTATATTCCTTACTGCTTGCTCATGGTTCTATTCTGCCAACTCTCATCACTATGTGGAATCCCTTAAATCAGAGTACCTTCTTATAGTCCATCTTTATACGTGGTGTTCCCTCCACTCAGAATACATGCCCTGTAAATAACTATGGCATTTCCCTCAGATAATTCTCTCCATTGCCACTACTCCTTTCCCTGACCTAAAACACAGGGATCTCTTCATGTTCCCAACCTGGTATTGAACATGACCTACTGGTTTACTTTCTAATACTGCCCGGTACCATAGGCAGTACATGCAGGCAGTGACTATGTCTTCCTTCATGTCCTAACCACCACTGCCATATATGTGGAACACAGCAGGCTCCCAATAAATGCTCCCACTGTACATACAGGAAATGGAAGCCTAAACCTTACTCTCCAACACTGTAAGCTACAATTTGTATTCTCCTGTGACATAAAGAAAATTTGAGCCTCATAGGCAGTCACTTTGCTACATGATGGAGCTATAATTTGAATTGACTCCAAAATCCATGCTCTTAACCTCAGTGCTGCATATTCCCACCATCACCCTTCTTTGCTTAATAAATCACATGTGACTGTTTCCAATAAAGACACATAAACTCCTCTGCAGATGGCTGAGTTCATATACTAGGTGAACACCACACTAATACGATTGGTCAGTATCCCAGAGAACAACAGGTTACCTTTTTTTGGCACTGGAGAAAAATATAGATTTGGCCAAGAAAAGATTATGTACCAACTCACAAGGATCCTCTACTTCTACCTTGAAGCTGCCTAAATTAATCCCCTAGAGAAACTTTCTTTTAAAAAGTAAACCAAGCTTCTCATCAACTTACAAAAGTAAATCTTCAGCAGATCACCTGTTCTGCTTTTCAGAGCCAACATTCCACAGTTTTGAAATCCTGTGATGTGTGTAGTGGAGAGTGCCAGATTTGAGTCAGGGATCCAAGTGTGAACCTCAGTTTTTCTACTTAACAGGTGTGTTTTAAATAACCTCTCTGAAGCATTAAAACATAGATAACAATTGTCCCATTGTTCCTGACAAGAATAAATGACAATGTATTTAATGAATTAAATGTCATTTAATTCTCCTATACATTATTAGGAGAATTAAATGAGATCCTATATGGAAGATACCTCAGCAAAGTGCTTAGTCTAGAACAGGTACTAAATAAAATCAATTCCTGTCTTTCTGTATAATTTACCACTCCCTTCATCTAATAAACTTTCACAAATAACTTCTTTAATGGAGGGTTAACTATACTTAACCCTCTATCTCAAATTAAAATCAAATTTTTTCTTCCAAATAAAAACCTTTCTGAAGTTTCAGATAAATTCAGGCCACCAAATAGCTATGAGACTGTAGGAATCCTTGAGTTAGTTGATTTAGCCTAAGACCAACAGAGCAAATTGAAAATTACCATCACTCCAGAACTGTGTCCTCACAAACCCAGGGCAGACAGAGCCGCTGGGTACTGCTCAAGTAAAACATGAAGCAAACGTTCACTCACCCATTCAGCTGTCTACAGTAAGTCACAGCCAATGGCTTTGACAGTCAGTCTGGCGCCTTCACCACCTACCCTCCCAGAGATGTGTGGAAATATGTAAAGGGTGAACTAAGCCAAATGACAGAGCACTTTAAGACAAGATCATAGAAAAGAATGAGTTCTTTATACTGCTGACAGTAAAAGTGCCAGTGCTGAGAATATGACAGTCCTTAAGGACTAACAAAGCACCTCATAGTTAATTGTGAACTGTAACTTGAAAATACCTCAGTTTGTGTAAAATGTTCCTTCTCCATGGTGTGCTAGGATCCATCTCAACCTGATGACTCTATTACCTTACTTCCATACTGTGTCATGAACCTGACAAACAGACTTTTGTTCTGAACATGGGAAGAATAAGACTAAGACTAAATGCACAAATCTGAAAAAGAGCTCTAGTTTCAAAATTATGCAACCAATTCATATTCAAAACCAGTGTTATTTAAATAAACTTTGCACTACTTTTTCTGATAATTGGGCATTGATATTCAATAAGAGTCTCCAGTAAATCAAGGAGGAATCAATGCCTATTTCTATGTACATCTATAAACACCAAACAAGAACCATTGATTAGTTTTAAGGTTGTTGAAATTTAGTTTAGCAAAATATTAAAGTTATGTGATATAAAATGAATTTCCTCAGTTTGACATCAAATGAACTTGAAAAATCTTGAGTCATAAAACAATGCAAATTCATTACTTTAGAAATTCCTATAGTGTACCATTCTTCCCAACTGATTTAGTGTTAAAGCCAAAGCATCTCTAAACTGACCCAGCTCAAGAACATCTTCAGTTTCTCTTTACCTTATTACCTAAAAGGTCCTGATAAGTCTCACCTGTGTGGCCCTATGCACCCTGAAAAATTCTTCTCAACACTTTAGCATTTGGCCACACTTTGTGATCCATTCCTCTTAGATAAGACCCCTCCAAGGGACAGGCTGCTGTGTCACATCCACCTTCCTCCCCTGCACCCAGATACATTCCTGGCCCAGTGAACAAGCACCAGGGACAGCCTGTGTGGGGCTGAAAATACACATAAGTCCCCACTGCCAAAAGCAGGGGTGAGGACACATATACCTCAACAGCCTGTCAAATGTTTTTAAAACTCACAAAACAGTTCTTTCATGCTATTGCCAAACACATATGCATACTTAAAGAAAAATAATCTTAAACTGTGTATTAGTTTTTATTCTTTAAATGGATCCATCAAGCCCCATTAGGCATTTAACTGTTGTGATGGGAAACTGCTTTTTCATTAGATATGAATAAATTGAGTTTTGTTTATGTACTAGAAATCAGCACATTAGGGCTACAAGCAACCTTAGACATCCACAAATCCAATCTTTTCATCTTTGGGTCTGGAAAAATTACTTGCCCAAAGTCATATTAGCTAGTTAGAGGCAGAATCACAAACACTCCTGTTCACAGGAGAAACTTCCCAGAGCTATTTCCTCAAGAAGAGACCAGGAGTTATTTTTATGTTGATATGTTTATCAGTACTCCCTAGCCACTTCTTACATGTAGACCAATACACTTAAAATTTTCAAACTTTTCCAGAAAAATAAAACAACTTGATTACTTCAGGTTTTTAACTTCAAATAACTAATTATGCTAACATATGAATGTACCAAGAAAACATACTTAAAATACTGAAAAATTAGGTTTTCAACATGTAAGCTTATTATATTGTGACTATTATCAACTCTAATATGTACTAATAAGACAAAGAATACAACTTTGCAAATTTAGCTCTGTGATAGGATTAGCTATTAATGGATAACTATCTGCTAATACATCTCAGTTTTCTCCACCACTCCCAGAAGCATGTAGAAACATTCACTTACCATAAACAGAGAACCATATTCAAAAGTCTCATTCATGGTTTCTTTTTGTGGCTCTTGTTTTCCCATGGGTGTCCCATTGTCTTTTTCACCTTTCTTTTCAGGGCTAATCTGATCGACACTGGAAACATATGTCGTTTCCAAACATTCTACAGTTTTCATTTTAACAGGGAGTATGCCTTTGATCTTCTGAAAAAATGCAGCTACAGACCCAGTCTCACACACTGAATTAGAAGAACCTGCTTTGTCAACATCTTCCTGATTCGATTTCATGGCAGATGTTGTTCTTGGAAGCCGGTGTGAAGCATTTTTAGAATGAGTTGTAACTTGCACAGCCTGGCCAGTAATGAGCTTATTAAACTGCTGCTTATGTGTCTTATTAGTTAGAATTTCTGCTTTTTTGTTTGCAGTAAAGTCAGATCTTGGTATTTTGCTCAAAACTGTCAACTGTTTTGAGGAAGCCAGTGAGGAGGGCAATGAGGCATTGGCCAACTGAGGTTTGGCTATGACCTTGGACTGTAACACTGGTCTAGACATAACTTTTGCTTTGACATTCTTGAAGTTTGGTGTTGGGTAACTTATAATTTCAGTTTTTCTAACTTTGCTGCCTATAAGGGTGTTAGCTTTGGTTGCTGATTTTCCTAGACTAGGCTTAGACATGTTCATAGGTGCTCCCTTCAAGTTTGGTAAATTTTCAGGTTCTCGATTACACTTCTCCTCGGTACACTCCTCTGTCACTTCAACAGGAGAAAAAGTAAAGTTTGCACTTGGCTGTTGTAGAACTGGTGTCGACATACAAACTGTGTTTCTTGTGTGAATGACCAAATCATCATTTGCATCCCAAGTCATTTCAAGTGATGAAATCTTCTTTTGTCCTGGTGAGTTACTTAGTATCAGTTCTACAGTATTATTTTGAGTTCCCAAATTTTTATCATTGGAAGCAATTTGTGGATCTTCAGTCACAGTGACTTTATGCTCTGAATCCAGCACTTGGACTTTACTTTTATCAAAAGCTGGCATCAATAAAGGGCATTCATCATCAATAAGACAATTGGACACTGTTTCTTTTAGATTTTGGCCCATTTCCTTTTGTCCACATGAGCTTTGTGACTGTGTCTCACTATTTGGTTCATCTTTAGATAAACAATAGAACTCTTGTAATACAGACCCACTGGGGACTTCCATGCCATCAGAAACTGGTGCTAGGCCTTGTATTTCTCTTTCTCCAACTAGTCTTCGCAGTGACCCATCTGTGTACTTGCTGGTAACCTTTCCTAAAGAATATTGACACTGATCCCCAGTATCTGGAACATCAGTGTGCATCACCACATGAGAAAATGCTGTGTAAGTTGTGTTTTGGGTGTCTGATGGTGTGATTTGAAGGTTTCTAAGGCTTTCTCTATTACTATTAATTTCTCTCACAGGCATCTTGGCAGAATGGGATGATGTCCAAGTGGAACAGGTTAAAGATGATGTATTTCCACTTCTCACACTGTTTGGTTGCAGACTTCCAGGGGCAGGGGAAGCCCAATCCTTGTCAATAACATGATGTGTTAAAAAGGTGCAATTAACTTTGTCCCCCGTGACGTCAAATGTTTGGTTTAGCTCCAAGGCCGTAGGGTAGTCTATGCAGTTCAAATCATCATTAGGTTTCCACACTAAAGGTAGAGAGGGTTTAACACTCTGGTCCTGAACTGCTTCTACGGAATGACAATGACTATGCAGGTATTCTGAATTCTCTGTATTTACCAGTGCAGAAGGCTGACACTTGGAATGTTCATATGTTTCTAATACCTGCTTACTAGTGAAATCTCTTGAGGACTTTTGGTGATCAAGAACTTTAGCGCACTGATGATTTAAAGAAACACTTTCATCACTGTCCACAGCAGGGTCCATTTCATAATCCACCACCATGTTATCTGGGTTGGCAGAATTCCAACTCACATGATTGGTTGAGGAGCTGTGTGTAGATGGTGACTCTTGGTTGTATTCATGTGTGTTTCCATTTTTATTGCTAATAAATAAGGAGTATAATTCATCTTTTGTCTTATCTGAATTATCATCATTCATCCTGAACATTAAACTTTAAACCGCTGCCATTTTATTTCTTCTTCAATTCCTCTCAAATGAGAGGGAAGGAAAAGTTGTTCTTCTCCTGACTTTTTCAGCACTATGAAAAGTTTTTAGTCCAAGATTCTTTGAAGTTGAAATGATATGTTGTACCCTGAAAGAAATAAAATATTTAACTCAAGTAAACTTTAGAAAAATTAATAGGTTACTCTTATTTAATGTTAATATCACTTAATTTTTACATTTAGAACTTATAACTACAGGTTCTCAATCTTAATGTGGATAATTAAGGTATCATTAGCTAATCTATCATCCCCTTTCAAAGACTTTTCTTTTATTGACAGTACTATGGTCTGAACTCAAACCACTTGCTAGGCAGACGCTCTACCACTTGAGCCACTCCACCAGCCCTTTTGGCTTCTGTTATTTTTCAAATACGGTCTCAAGTTTATGCCCAACTGCTTGGACCATGATCCTCCTATTTATACTTGACATACAGCTGGAATGACAAGCATGTACCACTGCATCCAGCCACTGGTTGAGATGGCTTTTTACCCAGGCTGGTCTCTAAACATAATACTTCCAATCTCCGCCTCCTGAGTAGTTAGGATTATGGCATGAGCCACTGTGCCTAGCTCAAAGATCATTTTTTAATTTGAGGGAATGGAGTACAACAGAAGATGGAGTTGCTACTGAGTCACTGTGCTGATGTTACAACTGACATGCTTCCTTCCCTACTCCAAAAGGACTCTCACTTGTCACAGAAGGAAGCTACATCTGACAACAGCTATTCCTTCTTGTTGGTTAACAGAGAAACCATTTATCCAAATTTCCCTAGACAGTCCCAATCTATGTCTATTGCCCCAGAATAATTCATAATAATGTCCTTTTCATTTTCAGAAGGGTTCCCACTGTGTCCAAAGAGAATGATTACCAAACAGACCATGCAGGCCCAGCAAGTTAGCTACAAATCAAAGGAGATTTAGAGAATTAGCATCTCTCTTTCCCTTGTTCTCATCCTATTTTAAACATATGCAGTTTCTAAAGTAAAGTGGGGAGGGGGAAAGTTGTTGATTTTAAGAGTTAAAGTAGTATTCTGTTGGAAGTTCTCCAAAATGTTACAAAATGCTATATTCTGAACTATGCCACCTCCTCCAAAATCCGTACGTTGAAGCCCACCCTCCCGTATGTGTATTGGAGACAGATCTTTAAAGAGGTGATTAAGGTTAAGTAAGATCATAAGGATAGAACACGGATCCAACAGAACTGATGCCATTATGAGTCAAAGGGACATCAAAACTCACTTTTTCCAACCCCTCATGTTAGGACACAGTGAGAAGGCAACTTTCTACAGGGTAGGAAGAGAGTTCTCACATGATAGCAAACCCTGACCAAACCTGGATCTTGGACCTTCCAGCCTCCACAATTGTGAGAAAATAAATTTCTGTCACTTAATCCTCCCAAGACTATGATATTTTGTTATGGCAGCCCAAGCAAACTAAGATGACAGATGACCCAGCAAGTCTACTCATAAGCAATCTAATAAAGGGAAATAAAAACACATCCACATAAAGACTTATAAACAAATGTACATGATTCTCAATAGAAGCATTATTTACAATAGCCACAAAGTAGAAAACTCACATGCCCATCAAATAGTATGAATAGATAATAAAATGTGCATAGACACAACAGGCATAGAAAGGAAAGCAACACTGACTCATGGCACAATGTGGATATAGTGTTACAACTTGAAAATGAAAAAGCCAGTCATAAAGGACTACCTATTATGAGATACCATTTATAGGAGAGATCCAGAATAGGCAAATCTGTAGACACAGAAAGCAGATTAGTGGTTCTCTAAGGCTAGAAAAGAGTACAGGGGGAAGGACTAAAGAGGCTGCTAAGTGGGTTGGTGTTTCTTTTGGGGACAATGAAATGTTTTCAAATTAGATTTTGCTTATAGTCTCACAAATGCTATTAATTATACTGAAAACTACTGAATTGTGTACTTAAAAGAAAACTTTAAAACTCTATAAAAGCTTTCAAATCCAAGGATTTCACAAAAAACTAAAATTTTGCTTTTAATCATATTTAAATGCTTAAGAAAGGTCTAAATGTTCAAAGTTCAAATTATACAGATATAAATTCAGTTGAGCTTTCTTATTCTATGTCAATTAAGTATCACAGTGCTATTCTGAATAAAATATCCATGAGGGGGAAAAATGACAGTGTGTTTGACCTATAAATTTCTGAATTTTTCCATTTTGTAATCTCTTCTCTGCATTCAAATTTCAGTGACCTGAATAAAACCAGAATAGAAACTATGGAAAAGTGACAAGATCAGTATTCTTCACTAACAGTGCTTTGTGTGTTTCTGGCCAGGCATCCTGAAACCAGCTTTTAATAGGGTAAAGAAAGGCTACAATGTTTATCTCAACAGCAGCAACATTTAACAATTTGATGAACTATGCCAAAAGCCTCAAAATAATCATGTCACACCCACATACACACACTCAAAGATTTGGAATCCTAAAATAAGGGCTGTGTGGTTTTAAATATGGATGGAAAGTGCAAATCAGCCAACTTTTTCATCACAACTCTTAAAAGGAACACTGAAATAATAGTTTGTAGGCTAGGACTTTCATAAAAGCTTTTATGAAGCATGAACTTTATGCCTCTGGCATAAAATGCATTCAAGCTAAATATTTTAAATTTTACAAAGTTCATTTATTTTCAGACTTAGGTACATGGGTTGTAATTTCAAAAGCACTAGATATGTTACACCTTTCTGCTCCTGTGTAGGCCAATGCTCATTTATGAGATTCTGGTATAAGCAAATATGAGTGAAGAACACTGAAAATGTAAGCATTATTAGGACAATCACAGAAGTTACGTGTCTTTCTAAACAGGGACATTAGAGTCAATTAATGGAAATTTAGTTACCTAAGCTCCCTCTTCTAAAACCATAAAAGATGAATATTATTCAATATTTATTTCTAGTTTTTCTCTTCCAAAAATGGTACTAAACATCTTTATGACCTTCAACTTCTGATCATTTCCTTTGAAGAATCTTTCTGGAAGATTACTGAATCAAAGGACATGATTATAGCTTAAGGCTATTCATAGTTTTTCAAATTGTTAAATGAATAGTTTTTCAAATTGTTAAATGAAGATACAGGATTCCTTAGAAAAAATATATGTATTAATATACATATTAATATTAATAATATGTATAACATATTAATATTATTTAAAAGCAAAACCTGAGTTTTGCTTTTAAAGCTTATGTATTTTGTTCAGCACTATCTCACAAGAATTCTCCCATGTTAATATAGTATAAAAACATTTCAAAAGATTGTGAAATTCCTCTAAAGACAAGACTAAATGTTTTTGGTTTACTAGTCAGTGGTTTACAGAAGAAAATGAGCTCATTAAGCATTCAACTTTCACCTGACTGTTTAGTACCCTAGGGTTTATTTTTACTTGTTTTTCTTTTTTAAATATATAGAAACAATGAAATTTCAAACTGGTGAGAAAAGTTATTGCTAGATACATAAAAATGCATGCATAAGAAAAACGTGAGGAGTCTCAGTATGATATAAATTTACTGATGTTTTCTCTGCCATTGTAGATAAGAATTGTGGTGCAGAGATTTGGATACCAAAATGGTTCTACAATTAAACTTATAGGTTCCAGGACTAGTTACACTGTCAACTGCCACCATTCACTACAGAAAACAGTGCCTTCAAATCATCATGAAGATAAAGCCAAGACACTAAAGGATTGACCAGCATTCCCTGAAAAGTTTGTTAAAAGTTTTCGTCAGTTAATTTCATCTTCCCCCATTTTAAGAATGGTACCTAATCTTTTACCAACAGTATGCTAGACACACATTCTTGGACTTAATCTCACCTGATTCATTAAGCAAATTCTTCATATTACTGCAGCTGCAATATAATTTGCCTCAATAAAAGAAAGCCTTAAAAGTTACTGTCTTAGCTGGGTGCTAGTGGCTCACACCTGTAATCCTAGCTACTCAGGAGGCAGAGAGCAGGAGGATCATGGTTCAAAGCCAGCCCAGGTAAAGAGTTCATGAGACCCTGTCTCAAAAAACACCCATCACAAAAAACAGGGCTGGTGGAGTGGCTCAAGGTGTAGGCCCCGAGCTCAAGCCCCAGTACTACAAAGAAGGAAAAAAAAAAAAAAGTTACCGTCTTGTAAATATTTTTATCAAAAGCAGAGAGTTTAAAAAGAGGAAGAAAAACTTGGAACAAATCATTCTCACCCCAAGGGGTAATTTTTCATGTTCTCTTTCAGTAGTCTATTAGAACAAAGCAGAATGATCAAGTTTCCTTTTTAAGAGATTCATTCTTGGAAGAGAGATCTTTTTTGAAGACATTTCGAACAAGAGAGAAAAAATTCCCCACCTACTATGTTTGGGGAATACAGTAAGGCAGCTCATCTTCAATAAAAAGGCTGCAAGAATATGGACTCCCATGACTTACGAGGTTAAGAATGGGTAAATACAAACTAGAAGAAATGGTGAAAGCCTTTGAAAAAGTGTTTTAGGCCATAATAATTTAGATTACATTCTAAATCCTAGCTTTTACAAAGTATATTTATTCTCCAAAGACAAAAGTTTCATTATTTCTTACAGTGAGTAGATACATCTGAAAAACTGAATCATTATATTATCATATAATTGAATTCACTATCACTGCCATACTAATGATGGAAGAAATTTTAGAGATCCAATTCAAGTACCTTCATTTTACAAATGACGAAACAACTTTTGAGAAACAAACATTATACAGTCAAATCATTTGTAGCAGATTAGGTTATACAATAGTTAGTTGTGTGCCTGATTTTTGCCAACTGAACTATAAACTCAACAGAGGCTTATGTATCAGTGGATGTGTTCTACATCTTCCTGATACCCACCAAATCTAGCCCTATCATTTGAACTTCATACTGCTAAATTTGCTACATCAGATGATAATTATGAAGAATTTATTTCTAAAAATAAAACACAAAAACAAGCTTCATTGCTTTATAGTCACATAGAACTTACTGTTGTTCCTAGTTATGTCAATGTATAGGCTGCCAATCTTAAGATGTGAATACAAATAGAAATGTGTTATTTAAAAATAT